AAAATTGGTGTTTCCTTGAAGGAAATGATTTTTGTTCAGTTCACAAGTCAAACATGCGTACATCAAGACAATCGGCCTTTGTTGTGTACTTTACAGACGTGTTACATATTTTACACAATATTAAGTGGATGTGTACTCAAGGCTTGAGATTTTATTTTTACTGCTTTATCAAGGGCAACAAACACGCGACTTTGTTTTTTGTTACTGGGAGTAGTGGTGAAGAGTACAATGCTAACACTATAGTGCCAGGACCTTGATTTGTGCTAAAATTAGCAATTTTATGCAGCGTTGCTTTTGCATCATCTTTACAAATATCAACACAGTGAAAAGAGTAAATATTAAAATCTCAGGATTATTAGTACAGTGGAAATACTAGTCATCTCACAGATCTCACAAGTACAGTGATCTCACAGCCCTGGTAATAAGCAGCCCCCACCATAGGGCCGTATGCTGTGCCTTGAGAACCAGCATAATAAAGACGGTGAGTACATGCAGAGTAGTGTTTGTTTCTGTAAATATTTTTCACCAGATTAAGGAAGAGTAGATAATAGCTTCTCTTTCCAGAAATTAGTAGCTCCTTGAAAGCAAGGACTTGGAATTTTCTCCTTTATCTTACAGAGTGCTCTATAAATGTTTGTTGGACTGAAATTTTGATCAGAAATTAAACTGAAGCAAAGCCTGTTGGGATGGAGAATAGGACACTGGGAGATTTATCCATATTTTTGATGTGGGCAGTGAAGAACGAGCAATCTTTGAATCCAAGATTTCTATTGTGGATAAAGGGTGGTATGATTAAGACAGATTATAGGAAAACTAGGATCTTTCCAAGAAGGATCATTTAATTTTGGCTATATCAAATTTGAGATGCCTGTGTTAAGTGGAAGTGGCTAGTAAGCAAAGGAAAATAAAAGTGAAGTGTAAGAGAGAACTCTGCACTGATGCACTCAGACGTGAACAGGTATACAATAGTGAATGAAGCCATGTGTATGGAAGGATTTCTCTGGAGAGAGAGTAGAGAGGGAAAAGGATACTGGAAAATAGCACAGTTTAAATTGTGAACTAAAAAGTGGAGATAGCCAAAAGGGTAGAGAGATACCAAGACAGAAAAATGCTAGGGAAATTGAAAAATGTGTGCTAGTGATTTGGGTCTCCCCCTCACCCTACCTAATCTATAGCAAACGTGCTGATACATTAGTGATAGAAAGAAATATTCTAGGTAACAAAGAGACCCAACTTTGTTGTTAATGAGGTGATGCTGAGATCTGCTAGGTTTAATGCACCCCAAGTTATGAATGAATGACAAACTGGTATTGTAAAGAGGAGAAAGTCTTCGTCTTTTTTTTAGTGCTCCTACATGTTACTAGAGAGTTCTCAAACTTTTGTTAGAATCACCTGAGGATCTTCTTGGATCCATGGCTTTCATTCCAAATGTTCTTTGGTATTTTTAGTTTACTTGTTTTTATGGGTTATGTTCTGGACATTAGGATTTTTTAAAGCTCACCAGATAGTACAGGTGAAAATGCAGCAGGGGAGGGGAATCACGGGCTGTCTTAGGCAAATGGACTGAACTATACATTGCTAAAAGCAGGTTTAGTCTTGTTAGGTAAAGAATTCCAGAGGCTGCTGCCATTTGTTTCTAATTTTAAATTAACCATGGAGACTTTCCTAGATATGTTTATTGAACATTTATCTGCATACCACCTATGCCATACGCAGTATGTACCATTGGAGTTTCAATTATGAATAATAGGTTCTCTCTTTCCAATATGGAGTTCACATTTCAGAGATGATTAAGTAAAGTTTAAGGAAAACTCAATATCTGTCTTTAATGCTAAGGTTTCCCGTTTTCTCTCATACTCAACTATCCAAAATTAATATTTCAGATGTGTGTTCAAGGTTACTGAGGGTGAAGAGGATACAAAATTTAAATCTAGTGTTTGCTGTGAAAGGTCTGTTTGTGAAAATAAAGCAGATATGTGTGATATTATATTTCAATATGTCACTCTTTTCCATCTTTCAGTATTTGAATATACTTCTTCTAGAAATGTATTTCCCGCTGTATACCTTCCCAGTAAAGATATGAAGTTAAAAATCTCTGAATTTTTCATTATTCATTTCTACATAAAATATTTTTCACTCAAGGGTCTTTCTAGGTAATGTCGTTATTTGAACATAAATGATGCAGTGGTACAAGAGTTCACTCATACTTTTCTAAGAGAAAAGAAAAGACCAATCATTTCATCACCTAGAATGTTTTTCTTTTAACTCTTAAAGTGAAGATATAATGTAAGTTATTTAGTCATCTGGATCAAAAAATCCCAGTTAAAAAACTGGAAAATAAGTGGATGGAATAAAAGTTTGTCATATTTCTTACATGAAGTATTTTTGTGTAAAATTTCATTTTTGACATTGAAAATGTTTTCAGGGATGTGTGTGCATATGAACTTAGGTTTTTATGTATTTTAAAATATAGGTCATTGGTAGAATAAAGTCATTTTTTGTCTTCCCAGTACTATATTTATTTAGTAAAAACTTAGAATGGAAAGAGCAGCCAGTAAAAACTTGGTTATAAGAAATTCCCAGTGTGAAATTAGCTTTGGCAAAGGAGGAATCTTGGTTTACAAACATGCAAGGAAGGATTGAACAACCAAGAAAAGAATGGCAGATATACAGATGGGCTTTATGAGTATTGGAAACCAGGGACTCAGACATGGCCACTAATTTCTCTCCATCTGTTTGTTGTTTGTTTGTTTTTTAATTCTTTTAGCTAACTTCACTCTATCTAGCCACAGACTCGCTTTTTCCACGTATTGGGAAACATGGCTACTAATACTTGAGTTTTATGTTGACTTCACCGTTTTGGACCAGAGTCCAAAAGTCCCAAGAAGAGAGCCATTGTCTGGGCTTTGTTTGAGTGCCCTTGTGGGTGAGTCAGCTCTGAGGTTTGTGAGAGGACACTAAACAAACACATCAATAATAGTTATAGCCAGTTTGATGTAAGAGGAAGTTACCAGGAAAAGAGGTGAATAAGACAGACAAACAGTTCACTATACTTATAGTAAAATAAAATAATGAGAAAGCCAAGGAAATAAAATTAGAAAATATAAAATACAGTGAAAAAATAGGGCAACCTTTATCACATATGACAAGTGTGACTGTTTGAAAAAACAACTCAAAAGTCCATTTATGCTCAAACAAAATGACACAGATTAAAAGTGAAAAGTTGGCAGAGACAAGTAAGGAACATGGCAAATAAAAAGACGACGGCAGTATTACTGTCAGACAGAACAGTGTCATAGACAAATAGCAGGTTTGTGTAACAAAAGAAGTAAATAAAACCCAGCTTTAAAGCAAGAAAGGGAAACACTTAGGTGCCAGAAATACAATGAATTTAAGACTGAAAGCCTCAGAGACTATTAGGAGTCTTGATATCATATAAAAGCCTTAGGTATTAGGGTACAGTAGGGGAGAAGTTGGAATTTTAAATCCAGGTAGCAACTGGAGATAAAAAACTTTAGGCCCAGGTGAAGTGACTTCCTTTGGAGAAAAGGAACTGGAATGACCCAGCCCCCTGGCCTGGGAAAGAGGCTGTGGTGGAAAAGTCGCCTGTGGTATATCAGCCGAGGCTCGTTCTGTGTGCTCTGCTAAGAGAATACTTGAAGACCTGAATAGAGCTGTGCAGTGTTCCTCAGTGGAAACTTTAATGTTGTGAATATCACTTATAGAATAATGTGTGAGAACTGCACTTTTTCTTTTAATAGAAAGCTTCATTCAGATAAAGGATGGCCTCACCATATCAATAACAGATTGTAGAGCTATACAGATAGGAAGTGTGGAGCTGGTACAGAAATAGACAGTAGTGGAATAGAAAGTTCATAGACAAGTATGTATAAAGATGGAGTTCTAGAAATGTACCTATAGATTAACATGGAGAAGTACTAAATTTATGGATTGTAGTAGTTGGAAGGAAATTCATATAATCTTAAATACTTTAATTATCAAGCAAGAAAAGAATGAAAATAATGGAATATTGTTAACAGTGCTGTATGATAGATATAGGAACTTACAGTTATATGAAATTCATATATCAAAATATTTTTAATAGAAATGCAAAATAAAATAATTGGAGTACTCTGGGTTTCTTAATCAGAATGGCAGTGACGTTGTAGTTAATAATGGTCTGTATTGGCAAAGACAGGTACTTGTGATAAAAGTGTAAATTGATACAGCCTTTTTTTCTTAAGGTATTTTGCTCTATTCAGGAACCTTTAAATATGAATATTCTTTGATCTAATAACTTTGTTTTTCAATTCCTAACTGATCACAGGGAAATAATATCTTTAAGTAATGACCAAAATTGATAGTCATTATCTCTTGGTAGTAGTTCTTCTCTTTGTTGTATTTGCCTTCTACAGTGAATATGTATTATAATTAGAAGCTTTTTGAGGGGCAGAGTGCTTAGGGTTTTTTGGAGATCAAAAAAATAGTCCTTTTTGTGCTTGTATGTGTGTGCTCAGTCATATGTGACTCTCTGCATCCCCGTGGACTGTAGCCCGTGAGGCCTCCTCTGTCACGGGATTTTCCAGACAAGAATACTGGAGTGGTTTGCCATTGCCTTCTCCAGTTTTTGTGCTAAACTGTTTTTTACTCTATAATTGGATTCTGCATGTGATCTTATTAGTAAAACAAAAGATTGATAGTTAATAATATGCCTTAGCACAGTTTGTGGCTTTTGTATGATTAGCTAAATATTTTTGCCATTTTACAAAATCCTTGGAATGTTTTTACCATTGCAGTGTGCTTTTTGCTTGAATACCTGGCTCATTTCAGAGATTCACATGATGTCTTTAAAATAGATTTTTTAAAACAACTATCATGTGATCATAATTCCCAAAGAGTGATCCTCCATCAATTTTATTTTTTATTTAGATGAATTTATTCTTTTTCAGTAAACTTTTCCATGGACAGTATCTTACAGTATCCATATTTGTATTTGACAGCTATATTTTCTGCTCTGAAGAATCTTCAAGATAAAATTCGGCGTTTAGAACTTGAAAGGATTCAGGCAGAAGAGAGTGTGAAAACCTTGTCTAAAGAAACAATTGAATATAAGAAAGTATTGGATGAACAGATACAAGAAAGGGAGAATTCAAAGAATGAGGAATCAAAGCACAACCAAGGTTTGTTTATTATGAGGGAAATAAAACACTATCAACATAAGTATTATAAAATTACTCTTTAAAAAATTACCATAAAAGAAATTCCACGTTAGTGTTTTCTAGTGCTTAGTGTCTTCCAGCACTACAAGATTGCATTATATTTGAGAGCGTTTTGAGGAACAAGTGCTGATGTTCGGCATTAAAATTATTGTCTGAATGTAAGGCAGATTAGACTAACATACAGAAAGTGAATGACTTAGGTCCTTTGAAAACGCTTCTAGAGGTACTGGAAAATGTTTATTATATATACTGTAGATTCATGTTAAACAGATTGTTAAACTGTTTTGTGAGTGAGCTGATCTCTGTTTTTTCTTTTTAGAACTGACATCTCAGTTGTTAGCTGCAGAAAATAAATGTAATCTTTTAGAAAAACAATTGGAATACATGCGGAACATGATAAAGCATGCAGAAATGGAGAGGACATCTGTATTAGAGAAACAGGTTTGTTCCTTCACAGAATCATTCTCAAGAAAAGTTAGCTATAGAGAAAATTAGGTAGATAAAAAGACCTTTTTACTCAGTGAGGACTAATGGTGCTGTTACAAATAATCAGTTCTCCCTCTATCTTAAAAGGTAATAGTACCCATCATTTTGAAAAACTGCTAGTGGAAGCTTTGAAAGAAAAGTGGTTTGTTTTTTTCTTCCAGCAAAACTGTAAAGAAGAGTTTGTTTTTTGGATGACCCTCATACACACTGTCATATCCTCTATAGCTTCTGCTTTGGGACAGTGTAACAGCTGAGGACTGAAATTACTTGGGATCAGTTATAGTGATACCTCATTTTCCTATTGTAAATCTAGAATTTGAATTCATTATGAATACTTTTTTAGCATCTTAATTTTGTTATACAGAAGTTGAATATTTTGTTGGACACTGCAACGTGAGAGAAATTGAATGCTTTCCACCTCAGTTAGCCTTCAGTCATAGTTGGAGATATTAGACCTAAAAGGAATACTTGATTGCATGACAGTATTTAAGAGAATGCTTCAGCAGTTCTTTAGTGTAAATTATATTATAGTTCTCTTTACTGTGCCAACGAGTTTATTGTGACCTTATATTCTTGTTTCCAGTTGGGTCTAACATTTTTATGTGATAGTTGGAGTGGGGAAGGAGGTGATCTGCCACATGATTGGAAATAGCCAAGCATGTTCAGTAAGCACTATAGTAATTCTCTTTATTAGGATATTTCAGTTCACAGGTTAGAAAGCACCTTTTAAAACAGTAGTGAGAGGGAGGAGGAGCCAAGATGGCAGAGGGATAGGACGGGGAGACCACTTCCTCCCCTACAAATTCATCGAAAGAACAATTGAACGCAGAGCAAACTTTACAAAACAACTTCTGATCGCTAGCTGAGGTCATCAGGCGCCCAGAAAAGCAGCCCGTTGTCTTCGAAAGGAGGTAGGACAAAATATGAAAGATAAAAAGAGAGACAAAAGAGCTAGGGACGGAGATCCATCCCGGGAAGGGAATCTTAACAGAGGAAGTTTCCAAACACCAGGAAACCCTCACACTGGCGGGTCTGGGGTTAGTTTTTAAATCTCGGGGGGCAACCTAACTGGGAGGGGAAAAATAAATAAAACCCACAGATTACATGCCTAAAAGCAACTCCCAGCAGAAAACTACCCCAGATGCCCGCATCCTCCACCAACAAGTAGGGGCGGAATGGAGAGGAGCGGGCGGCATTGCTTAGGGTAAGGACAGGGCCGGAGTGCCCTGAGGGCAATCGGAGGGTGCCTTTGTGAGTTACCAACTTAAACTGTGGGACAGCAAAAGAGAGAGAGAAAATTAACTGGCCGGAACGCACTGCCGGCCCTTCACAGAACAAAGGGACCAATCTAGTCCAAAGGAGCTAGACAACTGTGGACCATACCGGCCCAGCCCCGCCGGAGGCAGGGGGGAGAGGAAAGGGGCAGGCTCGGCCCCAAGGACTGCATCCCCTACCACACTGCAAACAGGCCTCGTTTCTAACCAAAGACTTCCTGAGATTCTGGATGGTCAACATCCGCCAGGAGGGTCGCGGCTAGACACAGGGCGCACGCACCCGACCGGCGCGCACAGGGACTGGGGCTGGGGGCGCAGAGGGGAGAAGGTGCACCGCACCTGACTGGCTTGGGTGGAAACTGAGGCTGGGACCGTGGAGGGGAGAAGGCGCGCCGTACCCGGGGAGAGTGCGCCCATGAAGCTCCTAGCTGCCTGAGCTGCTTGGGCCGGGGAAGGCACAAAACGCAGGCACAGCCGAGTCTGCGCTTTTGTGGAACACCCAAGGGCTGGAACCGAGTGCAGCGCAGGGCACGCTCCATATAGAGCAGCCAGGAGCCTGAGCAGCGTAGAGGGGAAAAGTAGCGCCAGTCCCTCCCCGCAGTGCGACAGAACTAGCAACCTGAACAAGAGACCACCTCTGCCCGCCTGTGTCAGGGCGGAAATTAGGCACTGAAGAGACTGGCAAACAGAAGCCAGATAAAGGGAACCACTTCAGAAGGGACCAGTACAACAGATTAAAACCGCTGTAGGTAACACCAACTACACTGGAAGGGGCCTATAGATATCGAGAAGTGTAAGCTGGAACGAGGAGCTATCTGAAACTGAACTGAACCCACACTGACTGCAACAGCTCCAGAGAAATTCCTAGATATATTTTTAACTTTTTTTTTATTATTAAAAAATTTTTTTTTTCTTTCTTTTCTTTTTTATTTTTTCTCTTTTATTTTCTTTTAAAATTCCCTGTTACTCCCCCATTACTCCTTAACTTTCATTTTCATAGATTTTTACAATTTTTTTAATTAGGAAAAAAAATTTTTTTTCCTCTTGTTATTTTTTCTTTTTTCTTTTTTTCTTTTTCTCTTATTTCCTTTTAAAGTCCTCTAATACTTCTCTACTACTCTGTAATTTTCATTTTCCTTTCACTACAACCTTGCAAAAAAAAAAAGAGAAGCCCTATTTTTAAACCAAACTTCGTATATATTTCTAAAATTTTTTGTGTTTTTGTTTTTAATATTGTATGTTTAAGAGTCTAACCTCTACTCTAGATTTTTAATCTTTGTTTTTCAGTATGTGATATAAATTTTGGACCTTTAAGAATCCAATATTCAGTTCCCATTTTTATTCAGAAGTGTGTTGATTACTCTCTCCCAATTTTGACTCTCCGTTTTCTACCTCAGAACACCTCTATTTCCTCCTTTCCCCTTCTCTTCCCAATCCAACTCTGTGAATCTTTGTGGGTGTCTGGTCTACGGAGAACACTCTGGGAACAGACAACTGTGTAGATCTGTCTCTCTCCCCTTGAGTTCCCCTTTTTCTCCTCCTGCTCATCTCTATCTCACTCCTCCCTCTCCTCTTTTTCATGTAACTCTGTGAACCTCTCTGGGTGTCCCTTACAGGGGAGAATCTTTTCACCATTAATCTAGAAGTTTTATTATCAGTGCTGTATAGTTGTAGAAGTCTTGAGATTACTGGAAGAATAAAACTGAAATCCAGAGGCAGAAGACTTAAGCCCCAAACTTGAGAACACCAGAAAACTCCTGACTACATGGAACATTAAGTAATAAGAGACTGTCCAAAAGCCTCCATAACTACACTGAAACCAACCATCACCCACGAGCCAGTAAGTTTCAGAGCAAGACATACCACGCAAATTCTCCAGCAACACAGGAACATAGCTCTGAGCGTCAACATACGGGCTGCCCACCGGCATACCTAACACTTAGACTCATCTCAAAACTCATTACTGGGCACTCCACTGCACTCCAGAGAGAAAAAACCCAATTCCATGCACCAGAACGCTGACACAAGCTTCCCTAACCAGGAAACCTTGACAAGCCAATCGTCCAACCCCACCCTCTGGGTAAAACCTCCACAATAAAAAGGAACCACAGACCTCCAGAATACAGAAAGCCCACTCCAGACACAGCAATCGAAACAAGATGAAAAGGCAGAGAAATACCCAACAGGTAAAGGAACATGAAAAATGCCCACCAAGTCAAACAAAAGAGGAGGAAATAGGGAATCTACCTGAAAAAGAATTTAGAATAATGATAATAAAAATGATCCAAAATCTTGAAAACAAAATGGAGTTACAAATAAATAGCCTGGAGACAAAGATTGAGAAGATGCAAGAAATGTTTAATAAAGACCTAGAAGAAATAAAAAAGAGTCGATTAAAAATGAATAATGCAATAAATAAGATCAAAAACACTCTGGAGGGAACCAAGAGTAGAATACGGAGACGGAAGATAGGATAAGTGAAGTAGAAGATAAAATGGTGGAAATAAATGAAGCAGAGAGGAAAAAAAAAAAGAGTCAAAAGAAATGAGGACAACCTCAGGGACCGCTGGGACAATGTGAAACGCCCCAACATTCGAATCATAGGAGTCCCAGAAGAAGACGAAAAGAAAGACCATGAGAAGTTACTCGAGGAGATAATAGCTGAAAACTTCCCTAAAATGGGGAAGGAAATAGCCACCCAAGTCCAAGAAACCCAGAGAGTCCCAAACAGGATAAACCCAAGACAAAACACCCCAAGATACGTATTAATCAAGTTAACAAAGATCAAACACAAAGAACAAATATTAAAAGCAGCAAGGGAGAAACAACAAATAACACACAAAGGGATTCCCATAAGGATAACAGATGATCTATCAATAGAAACCCTTCAGGCCAGAAGGGAATGGCAGGACATACTTAAAGTAATGAAAGAGAATAACCTACAACACAGATTACTGTACCCAGCAAGGATCTCATTCAGATATGAAGGAGAATTCAAAAGCTTTACAGACGAGCAAAAGCTGAGAGAATTCAGCACCACCAAACCAGCTCTTCAACAAATGCTAAAGGATCTTCTCTAGACAGGAAACACAGAAAGGTTGTATAAACGTGAACCCAAAACAACAAAGTAAATGGCAACGGGACCATACCTATCAATACTTACCTTAAATGTAAATGGGTTCAATGCCCCAACCAAAAGACAAAGACTGGCTGAATGGATATAAAAACAAGACCCCTATATATGCTGTCTACAAGAGACCCACCTCAAAACAAGAGACACACCTCAAAACAAGAGACACATAGAGAATAAAAGTGAAGGGCTGGAAAAAAATATTTCACGCAAACAGAGACCAAAAGAAAGCAGGAGTCGCAATACTCATATCAGATAAAATAGACTTTCAAATAAAGGATGTGAAAAGAGACAAAGAAGGACACTACATAATGATCAAAGGGTCAATCCAAGAAGAAGATATAACAATTATATATGCACCCAACATAGGAGCACCACAATATGTAAGGCAAACGCTAACAAGTATGAAAGAGGAAATTAATAGTAACACAATAATAGTGGGAGACTAATACCCCACTCACAACTATGGATATATCAACTAAACAGAAAATTAAGGAAACACAAACTTTAAAGGACACAATGGACCAGCTAGACCTAATTGATATCTATAGGACATTTCACCCCAAAACAATCAACTTCACCTTTTTCTCAAGTGCACACGGAACCTTCTCCAGAATAGATCACATCCTGGTCCATAAATCTAGTCTTGGAAATTTCAAAAAGATTGAAATCATTCGTCATCTTTTCTGACCACAGTGCAGTAAGATTAGATCTCAATTACAGGAAAAAAAATTGTTAAAAATTCAAACATATGGAGGCTAAATAACATGCTTCTGAATAACCAACAAATCATAGAAGAAATAAAAAAAGAAATCAAAATATGCATAGAAATAAATGAAAATGAAAACACAACAACCCAAAACCTATGGGACACTGTAAAAGCAGTGCTAAGGGGAAGGTTCATAGCATTACAGGCTTACCTCAAGAAACAAGAAAAAAGTCAAATAAATAACCTAACTCTACACCTAAAGCAA